GGAAAAAAAAGAGTTGGCTATATGAGATCAAACGGGAATTTTATCGGTACTGCTCTATATAATTAAACTGTGCGTGACACATAGGAGAGGCTCAGTGTTGATTAATAAGTGAGCCATATAAGGAAGGAAGGGGACAGACGTTTTTGATAGCAGGCTCTTCATGTGCAGGGCCTGCAGCCCCTGGGAGTTTCAGAACTGAAAGAAGGCCTGTGGGGCAGAGTACGGCCAGGGAGTGGTCATGATGGATGAGGCAGAAGATGGTGACCAGCCAAAAGAGTCTTGTAGGCTGTTACAAAATTTTGGCCTTTCTTCTAAGGACAAAGAGAAGCCATTAAAAGGTTTCATGTAGATTGAGAACTGTTATGATCCTCTGACTAGTGGGTGGTGAATTGATGGCAATGGGCAGATGACAGGAGGGGACCAGTGAGGTAGTTGTTGGAGTCATCCAGGCAGAGGTGGTGATGGGAGCTGGTTGAAGAAGATGGAGAGACATAATTGGATGTAAAACAAACTGGGACTGCTTCCTCTCCCCATGATCAAAAGTAGCCAGCACCGGGCTGGGGTTGTAGCTCAGCGGTAGAGCACTAGCCTAGCATGTGTGAGGCCCTGGGTTTGATCCTCAGCACCACATAAAAATAAATAAATAAAATAAAGTCATTGTGTCCAACTACACCTAAAAAATAAAAATAAAAAAGAATAATTAAAAAAAATAGTAGCCAGCTCCGCTAACTACACTGAAAAAAGACGCAAACTCACTTCGGATCTCTTCAGGGGCACAAATTGAACCAACCAACTAAGGCATTCTTTTTCCCTCTGTGCCAAGGGTGCAACAAATACAGAGATGAGTAAAGGAAACAGCTCCCGGGCCTTTCCAGCCCTGTCTTGTCAGTGGTGGCCTCCTGTCTTCAGTCCTGTTTGGGTTCTTCTGCTCCATCTCGAGTGTATCTTGGTGTCCTCTCCACTTGCCCCAATGCCCAGCCAAGGTCAGGTGCTGAATTTTCTCAAGTATTATGCTAGTGGTCCTCAGGGAGCCAATTTCCAAACCTGAGGTTTTCCCCTAAGTTTATTTGAGCTCATGATGTCAAAATCGTGGACATCTCTGTGGCGTCCTAGCCAAGTAGGAAAGAAGAGAAAACATCTATTGCCTACATGACTCAAAAGACCACCATAAGAATTAAAAGAAAAAATAGTAAAGGGACTTTGCAAACATGCAAGGTGTGCGGACAGTACCCCACTGTGCTTGCACTGCCTCTTCACTGTTGTTTGCTTTATTTTGTAGTTATCCAGCACATATTTATTGCACGTTCCCTGTGGGCCTGTGCTAGGTGCTAGAGAGAAGATAAGAGTCTCTGCCCTCATGGAATTATTCCACCGTGTTCTAGAGCCCTGTGGGTCAGATGAGAAGAATGGGAAGTCTCTAACTACCCATCAGTGCACAGAACAGGACAGCCTGAAGACTTAGCAGCATTTGGTCTTGCTTCTCTGCTAAACTTCTTACTGCCTGTGACCTCCTGTGGCAGGCTTTCCGCCTCAGGCACACCCAGAGGATGGTTTACCCAAATAATATTTGAAAGTTGGACCCTGCAAGGAATGGGACAATAGCTTTTCTTTAAGTTCCCATTGGTAGTGTTTGCTGTAACTGTGGACCCAGCCGCTGGGCGTAGATTGACAGATTCAGGTCCTGGTCCTCTTGCGTTATAAGAACCAGCAGCGGCCCTAGGACCCTAGTCCTAGTTGTGACTCTGTTGCGGGCGGTGAAGTCACCTACCTCCAGAGTCCTAGGTTTAGTTATACATACATGTATACATGTGTGTGCATATGTACTTATAATCCGGGCGCCCTACTACTGAGTTCCAGCCCCAGTCCTTTTTATTTTTTAATTTGAGACGGTCTCGCTCTGAGGTACTCGCTGATTTGCCGAGGCTGGCCTGGTGCTTGCAATTCGGCCTCTGGCGGCCCCCCTCGGCCCGACAGCGCGAGATGGGGCCGAGGGGGCGGGGCCTCCCCCTTTCGGGTGCCGCATCCGCCGGACGCCGGAAGTGCCTCTCCGCCCCTGCCACTAGACCATGGAGACTGTGGCACAGTAGAGTCCGGTGTGAGGATTGTGGGGGCAGTGGCCATGGAGGCCGTGCTGAACGAGCTGGTGTCTGTGGATGATCTAATGGTGAGGCCTGGACCCCAGGAAGGCAAAGGGGAAAGTCGGAGGGCGGGTCCTGAGGAGAATAGGGAAAGGGATAAACCCTCTCCCCACCCCCGCGTCGCCGAAGGAACCGAACTACGGCTCCCGGCAGCCTCTGCGGCGCCCGGCTCCTACCCCAAAGCGCTGTTTGTCCCGGAGGCTGATGGGAGTGGTAGTTCTTGGGTCTCCTCACATCAGACGTAGGGCCTGGAGTCTTGACGATGGAAAGGGTGACGGGTTCTGGGTTCGTGCGGAGTTGTAGCTCAGGATGCTCCTTCCGTTGCCAGGGCATACAACTTTTAACCTTGAATCCCGCATGGTGCTAAGTTCACAGCGTGCCAGGTCTCACTCTTCGTAGCTCTAGGAGATAAGCGCTGGTTTTAACCTTGTCTTGCAAATAGGATAAGGTCCAGACCCAGTAGGGTGGGGCAGTGAGGCCAGCAGCCTCGGGCTGAGACCGCGTAGGCTGTTGTTGAGCAGTTGGGACAGTGTGTTTACTGTTCAGCCACTTTGGGTCAGCTGCTCCTGGAGCGGTGCCTGGATCTGCCACCAGGTGGCATCTCCACTAGATACCAGTAGGGGGAGGGCGGAAGAAGGGGCCCTTCGTCCAAGGAGGTCGTCCACCAGCCCAGGGAGCACAGTACTTGGATCATGGGTTGGGGGTGGCAGAAGCTGGGGTGCTGGGTACCAGGACCTGTGAGGGCAAAGACAGGAATGGAGTGTGACTGGGACATGGACAGCAGGTCTAGATAGAGTGTGCTTGCACCCTTGGTTTTTAAACGATTCCTCTCCTCTCCTACGGCAGAAGTTTGAAAAGAAATTTCAGTCTGAGAAGGCGGCAGGCTCAGTGTCCAAAAGCACGCAGTTTGAGTATGCCTGGTGCCTGGTGCGGAGCAAGTACAATGAGGACATCCGGAAAGGCATTGCACTACTCGAGGGTGAGGCTCTGGGCCGCCGTCGCTGTTCTCTGCTGCATGGGGGCCAGCCTTGTCTGCTGCCATTGGCCTGGTTCGCCTCCTTTGTCCAAGCACTGAGATCCTTTCCCATCAGGGGACCCTTACCTTACAGTACAGTCACTTCATAGTAATTCCCAGCAGACTCGCTGTAGCAAAGGGCTGCACAGTTGGCCCTCCATATCTGCAGGTTCCACATCATAGATTCATTCAGATAAAACATTTGATATAAAACAAAACAACAAAAATATTTACTAAAGTGTACAGACCTTTTTTACTTGCTGTTATTCCCAAAACAAAACAGTATACCAATTGCTAATGTAGCATTTGTATTGTGTTAAATATCATAAGTAACCTAGAGAGAATTTAAAGCACGCAGGAGGATGTGTAGGTTTTATGCAAATCTTACAATTTACTTAAGAAACTTTAGCATCTGTGGGTTTGGGAATCTGATAGGACTCCTGGAACCAATCTGCCAAGAATAACAAGGGACAGCTCTACCAGTAAAGGATGCTTGTTGTAGATCTGTAAAACTAAGAGTTTTAATGCAAATACCATCACTCTACATTGTCTGTTTCACAATTCAGATTTTTCAGGTTTACCCCACACTAGGGCACAAAGGTAGAAGTGGTCTCTGGCCATTGCTTGTGTAGTTGAGGAGACATTAGGCACTTGAAATTTTAAGCACCTGCAGAACTACTTAGTGACAGCTCCTGATGCTTGAGAACAGCCACGCTCAGTCCCCTGGGAAGTCACTGAATTGGGAAGTAATCAGGTGGGTTTTTCCAGGGAAGTGAGTTAAGGAGGAGGGAATACAGACTCCTCCCCACCACACACACGGGAATTGAATCCAGGAGCACTTTACCACTGAGCTGCATCCCTAGCCCTTTTTATTTTTCATTTCATTTAACGACCTGGCTAAGTTGCTTAGGGCCTCACTAAGTTGCTGAGGCTGACTTTGCCTCCTAAATTGCTGGGATTACAGGTGTGTGTCACCACACCCAGCTTTATTTTACTTTTATTTTTATTTTGAGGCAGGGTCTCACTAAATTCCTTAGGGCCTTGCTAAGTTGCTGAGGCTGGCCTTGAATTTGTGATCCTCACGCCTCAGCCTCGGAGTCGCCTTAGTCTCGGAGTCGTTGAGATCACAGGTGTGTGCCTCCACACCCATCTGTGCAAACATTTGTTTTTAACAATAATTGGGCAGCAGGTAATGGCATTGAAAACAACGGGTGCCTGAGCTAAGTAGAGCTTCCTTTTGACTTCCTGTCCTTAGGTTCCTGTGGTTCACTCCAGGGGACCATAGTGACTATAATATTGATTCCAGGATGTCCGTCATTGGGATGTTGTGGCAGCCTCTGCTCATGGTGCCCCAGAGCTCTGACTGGGAAGCTGAGAGTGACAGTAGCTGACATGGAGGCCCAGGACAGAGACCTTCCTGGGACCTTAGAGGGATCTGGAGTGTGGCAGGGTCTGTGGGATGTGGTATTAGGAAAAGAAAGAAGCCGTTTTTTCACCCTCTTTTTTTCTCCCTTTCCCAGAACTACTGCCCAAAGGGAGCAAAGAGGAGCAGCGGGATTATGTCTTCTACTTGGCTGTGGGGAACTACCGGCTCAAGGTGAGCCGCCTTTCTGCCCCAGGGTAGAGCCCTGGGCCTCAGAGAGGCTGAAAAAGGCAGTAGGCTGGGGGTGGTGTGAGGTCTCTGGTGCAAGTTGATACCAGGACTGTTTCAGAGGGAAGGTGAGAGAGGATCAGGGTGCCAAGGGTGTGGGGACACAGTGACGTCAAGATTGGGGTGTAGCCTCAGGCTTGGGCTGTTATCTCCCCTGGCTTATCACCCCAACACAGTTGGGGTTATTTGTGGACTCTACTCCATCAGGTGGGGCTGGAGGGAGGACAGGGGAGGTTCAGGCAGGGCTGGGGGTGAGAGAAAGAAAGACCCTTCCTGGCAGGAGGGGTCCTGGAGCCCCAGGGTGCAGGTGACTTGCTGTTCATTTCCCCTGAGTGCAGGAGTATGAGAAGGCCCTGAGGTACGTGCGCGGGCTGCTGCAGACAGAGCCCCAGAACAGCCAGGCCAGGGAGCTGGAACGGCTCATCGACAAGGCCATGAAGAAAGGTGAACGCCTCGCCCCGGGTTAAGTCCTCGTCCTTCCCAGGGCCCCATGGAGTATCCATAAAGGAGCCCCTCCAAGCAATCACTCCCTAGAAGGCCCCTGTCTCCTGCCCTGGAGCTCATAGCCTTTGACTCTGTCGGGAGGCATGGGTCTTCTGTGGAGCAGCGGGACCAGGGCGGTCCTGGCCAGGGTCCCTGTGGGCTATCAAGCTCTGACGGCCTCCCTTCTCCTTCTCCGTTCCCTAGATGGACTAGTGGGCATGGCCATCGTTGGAGGCATGGCCCTGGGCGTGGCAGGACTGGCTGGACTCATCGGGCTGGCCGTGTCCAAGTCCAAATCCTGAAGGAGAGCACGCCTGCTCCTCTGCCCAGGGCACTCGGGAACTATGGTGGACACTCAGAGCAGGGCCCCGCCATCCTTATGGGCCTTCCTATTCTTCCCTCGCATCCTCATCATTGTCCTCTGCGGCCTTCAACCTCTGTCTCCCCAGACCTGTTGTGTAGCCCCAAGTCATGTGCCAAGTGTGAGTGTAAATAAAGCTGGGCTGTGGCTTGGGAACTTCCTTGCCTGTGTCGGGGGGTGGCACTGTGCATAGGTGGGCTCACCCCTGGCCCTTTCCTGCCCAGCGCCCTCTTGTTCCTGCCCTCCAGGCCAATGTGGGGGTCTCCTTTGTCCACGGAGCAGCCCAGTCCACACCCTTCCTTCCTCCCCTTCCCCAAAGCCGTGTCCTTGAGCAGCAGCAGACAGCACAGGACATGGCCTTTCCATGGCCCAGAATCCTGGGAGAAAGCAGCCATCAGCGGGAAGGGCATCCAAGGCGAGGCTGGGATTTACGGCTCCGTCTCCTCTGACCCACTCAGCTGCCTCGCAGCACGTGGACTTTTCCACTGCGGCCCTTGGGCTTCCTCCACAACCTCCGCCCTTCCCTCCCTTTGTCTTCCTGCGCCTCCCCTTCCTCCTGCCCCATCCTTCTCCTTAGGGAAAGGGGGGCCCCAGTGGAGAAGGAAGTTCTTTTGGCATGGGGGAGGCAGGGGTTTGGGGGGAGGCTAGGGGCACAGAGTGTCCGAGTTCCAGCTTATGGAAGAGGAGACAGGCTCCGCCCCAGCAGGTCTGCCCCACGCCCCCTCGTGCCAGGCTCTGCGTGGGCCTGCGCTGCTTGCCGCATACCTCTCGTTCCTCAGCCCCCGCCAGGCCAGCAGGGTGGGAGGAGGCACCTGAGGGAGACATGAGGACCTGGCGCAGTGGTGGGGAACAGGGCGGACACCCCCAGGAGTGAACTAGAGCTGTCCCAACCTTGGCCTTGGAGCAGGTGCTTATCCTAGGTTGGGGGGGACTCTGGGGTTTTGATCCATCATGATTAATTGAGTTGGTAACAGCTTCTGGTAACTCTGAAGTGCTAGGAGAGATTAGCCACAGGCTCATGTCCTAGACCTCTGATCTGTTCCTGAGGCCCCTTGGCAGCAGGATCAAACTTGATGCCGAGAGTCAAAGGTCAGCTCAAAGGGGGAAATTCAAGTTCAGGAAGTTTGGAGGAAAGTTACTGCTGGCCTCACCTCAGTCCTGCTGCCCTTAGATCTGAGATGGTCCCCAAGCATGGAGCAGTTGGAGTGTGTGGGGAGCTGTGATCTCTGGTCCCCGTTCTTATTATGACCTGTAAAGCCAGTACCGGGGCTCCAGATGGCTAGCAGAAAAAAAGTGGAGCTAAATAAACGAGCCTGGCCACTTTGGTAACCGATGGAGTCTAATTTGAATCCAGGTTACCGGACCCCAGAGCGCTGGTCTCTCCCACTGCCTTCCCGTAGTCTTTGGAGACCCAGGGGTCCTAGAGGTGTGGTTCTTCCCATGCAGAGGGAGTGACCCTGCCGCACCCCCCCCACCTCGTCCTCCATGGAAGGCATGTCTGTCAGGGTTCACTCTTCATTCACTCCACCTCTTGTCACGTTCCTGCTATCAGTCCCCTTTTCTCTCCTTGCCCCTCTATTCCATTCTCTGGCCCCAAATGAAAGCTGAGTCAGAGACAGCCGCTTCCCCCTTGGCTCTTGATTCCTCCCAGGCCCCTCCTAGGCCGGATCCGTTAGTCTTCTAAGTCCTCTCCCCCCACCCTCGAGGGGCGGGGAGTCCAGGCCAGCCTAGAGGCTGGGGGAGGGGGTGGACTTTTGGCCTGTTTATTCCCTCCATCGTCAACAGCTGCTGCCACACAGGCTTGGCTCATTCCTCTGACCTGTCAGGAAGCAGAGAGACCCAGAAAGGAGGGAGTCAGAAACCTGGAGACGGAAGGACCTGAGCCCGAGGAGAAACGGGCAGAAGCCACGGCTGGATTCCCCTCCTTCCCCTCCGCCTGCCTCAACGCTCCTCCTTAGCCAAGCCCCTTCCACTTTCCCGGGGGCTCCACCCCTGCCCCTCTCTGGGGCCCAAGCCCCTCAGGGGCCTGCTGTCCCAGGATGTCGATAGCTGTGGAGAGCCTTGGCTTCTTCATGGCAGCCCTGGGGCTGCTGATGCTGGGGGTGACCCTGCCAAACAGCTACTGGCGAGTGTCCACCGTGCACGGGAACGTTATCACCACCAACACCATCTTCGAGAACCTCTGGTACAGCTGTGCCACCGATTCCCTGGGAGTCTCCAACTGCTGGGAGTTCCCGTCCATGCTGGCCCTCTCTGGTATGGGGTGAGGAGAGCTTTAGGGAGCAGAGGGAGGGGGGACAGGCTTGGAGAGACCCCAAGGGAAGGGGTGGCTGTCTTTGGTCTGATCTTCGGTGCCATAAGGATGCAGGAAGACGGGTCAAGCTCTGGGTCCTGGGCTGCTGTAGCCAAGAGCACTGTGCACTCCAGCCTGGCTCTGGAGTGAGACCTTGTTATATTTGGCCCCTGGTCTAGTGGAATCCTCCACCAGTGGTTGTAAGAGCAGGCAGCAGAGTCATCAAGCTGCCATGTGCAACTCCTGCCCTGGCTAGCTCTGTGCCTCGGGTGAGGAGACAATGGGCTTGGTATCGGCCACCTGCAGGCTGGGACCATAACAGCACCAGCCCTCAGGTGCTGGTGAGGATCACATGCAGCAAAACCTGCAGACCCTGGCTCCCTGTTGTCACATATGCACATTTTATTCTGGGTGGGATCGCTGGGTTGGCAGGGTGAGGAGGCCCCATTTTGGCCTCTGAGCAGTTGATAGGCAGCAGGTCTCAGTGACCAACCAAGCATCCACGCTGGGCTGCTGGTCTCCCTGCTGTGCTGAGCTGTACAGAGCCCCCAGCAAGGCCAGGTTGCAGTGGACGAGCGGCCAGGCAGTCTGAATGGAGGTGGTGGGCACGCCCAGGACCAAAAGCCCAGGGTGCTGAGTGGCCAGAAGAGACAGTGGGGGTAACTGGCCCGGCAACCCAGCCAGCCCAGTGCATCCATGCCTGGCACACTGAGCCCTGAGAGGGGCCCATGGGGCACTGCTGCTCTTGGCCTGCAAGAGGTCCCAGTGCAACAATGTGCAGGAGCATCTGGAGGGGAGAGCAGAGGGCTGCGGAGAGGGCTGCGGAGCTCCGGCCTGTGCTTCCCCGTCCAGCTGTGCTGTTGCAGTGGTCTGTAGTCACCTGCTGCTGGGTGGGGCATTGACCTCATTTCACAAAGCTGAAGAAATTCTGTAGGGTGTAACAGCCTAGAGCCACAGGAGGTGAGGGCAGCTGAGACTCCAACTTATGGTGCCCGAGCCCAGGGCCCAGTTGATTCCTCCATAGCCCATTGTGGTTCAGAGAGGGATCCTGGCCCTCATTCAGCCACCCGCCAGCTGTGCACCCCAACTTCCACTTGGCCACCAGAGCTCCCTGAGGATTGAGAGTTGGGGTGGGGAGGGAGTGGCTGGGAGTCAGAATGTCCTCTCAGAGAACTTTGTCCCTCCTCCCTGCTCCCCAACTTCAGGCCACTTACCTCTTCCTGGCAGGGACCCAGCCTTTCTCCTTCAGCACCCATGCTGCTGCCCCACCCAGGAAAGGGGAGCAAGGTCCTCAGGAGCACTTAGCAATTATGGAAGACAGAGAGGGGAGGAGGGGCTGGCAGCTTCCCTCAGTTTTGCAAAAGGGGAAACTGAGGCATCAAAGAATATGAGCTAGACAAACTCGGATGATCCTGGGCCCAGGTGTCCCACCTTCCAGGTCAGAAACTGCCCTTGACCCTCTGCCATAAGCCACTGCTGCCCCCTTCAGGTTACTCTGGGAAGAAACTCTGTTGGAAGTGTCAGGCATTGTGTTTGAGCTCTGGGTGGGACTTGGAGAGCCCTTGGATTCGGGGTGGGGATGGGGAAGGTGAAGTTTCTATAATGTACAGTAGAACGTGGGCCTGATCTGATGGAGTGGCAATTCTCAGCCAGCCTGGCTCTGCACTTTGCCTCAGCTTGGGAGGAGCAGGGGTTGCTACAGCATCCTGTAGGCAGAGGTCCAGGGTGCTGCAAAATGCTCCATGATGCATAGGACATTCCCTGGGAACTAGGTCCCCAGCCCAGAGTCAGTAGTGAAACCCATGGAAAAGGTACCAACAAAGTGCACCTGGCTGGGAGGAGGAGGGCATGGGTAGGAAGGGCGTGGATGCACAGGGAAGGAGGCTGGAGGACTTTGAGGGACAGCAAGGCTTGTGTCTGAGCAAGGGCCACAGGGGCTGCTGTGGGCCATGGAGGTGGGAGAGATGGGGGAAAGACTGATGCCTGTGTCCCTCCCCAGGGTACGTCCAGGGCTGCCGTGCGCTCATGATCACCGCCATCCTCCTGGGCTTCCTTGGCCTCTTTCTAGGCATCCTGGGGCTGCGCTGCACCAAAATCGGGAGCATGGAGCTCTCCAGGAAAGCCAAGGTGGCAGCCATCGCGGGAGCCCTTGACATGCTGGCTGGTAATTGGGGGAAGGTGTTGGGTGAGCTTGGGGTAGCCCTTGGCCACAGACTACGGGCTTCCTGCCCCATGTCCAGCTCCCCACTCCTGGCACATGCAGCTCCTTTCCCTTTGCCTTGACACCTGCTGGGCTCTTCCCTGGCTCCCTGCCATCCCACCCTCATCTGAACCTCCAATCCCATCTACAGTTCAGTCCTCCACCAACACACACACACCGGTACAGTGTAGAGTAACAATGCCAAGACTTGCCACTAGTGTTCCATTTGTACATTTTCACACCTCTCATCTCATGATAAGTCTGCAAGGTAGGGTGGGCATTGTCCTGTTCCAGATTTGAAAAGCTCGGAAAGGTCAGGTGGTTTCCTGGAAGACAGGCCCCCAGCAAGGGGAGTGGTGACAGCCCAGGGCTTGGTGGAATTTGGGATTCCTAAGGAAAGGGCCATCAAGGCAGTGGGTGGGGAGACTTGGACAACTGGGCTTTGCAGGCTGGGTAGGATAGATTCTAGGTGAGGCCAGGAATGCCGGGGCCCTCAGGTTGGGATGAACAAGGCAGCTCTGAGGCCAAGGGGGGCTGGGATTGGATGTAGAGTGCCAGGAAGGGAGGTCAGAAGTGCTGGATTGAGACCTTTACAGTTGACTGCCAGGATGGGAAAGTTTATAGGCTGGGGCGGGAGAAAGGAATTGAAGTGAAATGGTTACCCTTAGACTTGATGCCCTCCATCCTACTCAGGAAGACCCCTGCCTGACCCTTCTTAAGCCCCCACACCAACCTCCTGCCTGGGCCATGCTGACCCAGGGCACTAGTGCGGTTCTCCTGCCTCCCCAGGGGCCTGCGGGATGGTGGCCATCTCCTGGTATGCCGTCAACATCACCCAGGACTTCTTCAACCCCCTCTACGTTGGAACCAAGTGAGTGAGAAGCTCCGCCCTCTGGGACAGCTCGGGTGGAACTCGGCCCTGTCCCTCTGGCCCGCGCTCACCTCCTGGCCCCCAACCCCACGTCGCCCTTGCGTCCAGGTATGAGTTGGGCCCCGCCCTCTACCTGGGCTGGAGCGCCTCCCTGCTCTGCATCCTCGGTGGCATCTGCCTCTGTTCCAGCTGCTGCTGTGCCTCCCAGGAGGACCCCACCACAAGGTGAGAGAGGGGAAGGACAGGGTGGAGGGCAGGGAGCAAGGGTCGTACCTCCCTGTGACGGCCCCCTTCTCCCCACAGGGCCCAGCTTACCTATAAGACTTCCACAGTCGTGATGCCCACCGCCACCTCAGATGAAGGTGACAGCAGCTTTGGCAAATACGGCAAAAATGCTTATGTGTAGGAGTTTGGGCCAGCGGAACCCATCTCCTTTCCCACTGCCCAGTGGAGAGGGGTCTTTAGGACCCTGGGGCCCATCTTCCCTTTAAAAACCTGCAGCAGGCCACACTCCAGGCCACGCCCCTTGCCTGGAGGCCACGCCCCTTGCCTGGAGGCCACGCCCCATCCTGGACTATTCCACTGCCCCGTCTTCTTCCGAGGCTGGGTGTGAGGGGACGGAGGTGCCCCCCCTACCCGGTTTGTGCGTTCTATATAAATACATGCATAAATAAATGTGTTTTGTGACTGTTCAGGGTTGAAGGTGTCAGGAAGTGGGGGCTAAGCAAGGGGGAGAGGTGGGGCCAGGGAGTGAGTCAGTTCTTGGACCCCTGTCGTTCTACCACTTCTGGGCTGTCTTGTCCAGCAAAACAGAGGCATTGCTAGCGATTTCCAGAGGGTGGTACATAATTACTACCAAGAGTCATCTTGGACCAGATATGGGAAGCCCCACCTCCAGGTTCTTGGAAATATCAGAGATTCCCAGGATCAGCTGGCAGTGATAACAAGCCACTCCTGATGATTTATCAGAGCTCCTTAAGGGGACAGTTGGTTTGGAGCAGTTTCTTACCTGGGCCTGAGCAGGGACATCAGGAATGGGCAGCCCCTTTGGAGCTCTGGATCAAGTTAGCTGGGTGTGGTACCTGTACATTTCTCTGGGGGGAGGTTCCAGAAGTTTCTGCAGGTTATGTGCAAGGCTAGACGGTGTCCCCCTCAGCATAGGTTGGGGGCAAGTGTGGCACAGGCCCAGCTCTACTTGGTACCCATTCAAGACAGGAAAATGAGGCCACAGGACAGAAACCTGGCATCCAGTGACAGCAGAGAATAGGGGCCCAGCCCAACATGTATCCCCTGCCACAGGACCTAGTGATGACTGGGTCCCCTCAGCAGTCCCCTCCGTTTCTCTTCAACCTTATCCACTCACCTGCACCGGCTGTTTCCTGTAGGCCTCTTCGCACCCCTTCCTTTCAGGGAGATGCGCCCAAACCAAGTTCCACAACTGAGCACTAAGTACCATGTGCCTTAATAAGGTGCTAGGCTAATTTTCCATTCCTCTGGCCATCACATGGTCACATGATTAAAGGAGTTAGGGACATTTTCCCCTTTTCACTATATTTACTGAGTTTCTTCTCACTAGAAGCTGGGGTGGGCACCAAAACATGGACTTTGCCCTCAAAGAACTCAAACTTGGAGCAAAGAGGAATGTCAACCAGAAGCTGCCATCTGATGTCTAACAACAAACCACTCTGGCTTTTGGGCAGTGCAGCAATAGCTGTCAATCCTGGGTGCTCACAAGCTGCGGGCACTGGGTGAGAGTTCTCCCAGTCCTTGCAATACCTGGGAGGTGGCTGTACCAAAAGCAGAGGCAAAGGCACCTGCCCAGCTGCACAAGTAGGAAGCAGTGGGGCCGGGACTTCTCCAAGACTGAGGATAGCTGATGATGCCTCCCAGAATCCTCAGCTATCCTAAGGCAACTAGCAGCAGTGCTCACTGAGCTCTTTAGGAATAAGTCCCCAGTCTCCAGCCTTCCAGAAGGTGGCACCAACCTCTTCTTCCTGTGTTCCCAGGAAGGGTGGTGCTACTCCATCATGACACTAGGTTTAACTTCTAGAAACTGTTGGAATAGTGTAGATTTCCCAAAGACCAGGGGTCTCCCAAGTCAACAAACAAGTTTCCCGTTTAAAAAAAAAAAAAAAAGCTGGCAAATCTTGTTCAGGCCTTTCCTTGAGGAATTCTGGTTTAAAATAGGGATCCACACACACAAAAAGAAAATATCAGATAATAAAAAAAAAAAAAAATAGGGATCCACGCTTCTTAGAGAATGTTCTTGGATGACCAGGGGAGCCAATCGGCATCAGAGCACCAAGATGCCACTGGGGTTAGGAACCATCCTCACAAGGTCACTTGGGAAGGTGCTGGGAGGAGAGATCTTACACCAAGAAGAACCTACATGACTCCATTTATAATAACAAAACATGAAGCAAGGCCCTTGAGGGTAGGAATGAACCAAAGAGCAGGCTGCGCTGACACACTGAGTCTGACGCAGTGTTTCTCCACCAAGAAGGGCTTTTCTAGGCTTAGGACATAGCTCAGGTGGTAGAGCACTTGCCTTGCATGAACAAGGCCCTAGGTTCAATCCCTAGCACCACACACACACACAAAAAAAAAAAAAAAAAAGGCTTTTTCTACTTTCCTTTTCTAGCCTGTGTACTTCTTGGTGAAGAGGAAAGATGAATTAAAGGTTCTGGACCCCAGAGTTTCATTTCCTGGGAGAGACAAGAGGCCCAGACAGGAGTTGCTGCCGGCAAACTGAGACTCCTGGTGTCCTTGTTACTAACTACTAACAAACCATCTCAAGACTCAGCAGCATAATTCCACTATTTTATTCTGCACACAGATTCTGTAGCTCAGGAATCTGAACAAGCACAGCACAGCGAGGCAGCTTCTCTCTCTCTGGATGTGAGACGGAAAGCTGAAGGTGATTGATGCCAGGGGCACAATCACCTGTGACTGAGGCTTGGCTGGCAGGATTTGAAAGCCTGGCCCTCCAGGGTCTGCAAGTGAGGGCACCTGCCCACAGCCTTGGTGTCACCTGGGCTTCCTCACAGAATGGTGGCTTCTGCTTCAGGGTAGCTGGATTTCCTATGGACTGTCTTGGGGACCCAAAAGCAAGTGTCCTAGCCACAGGGCAGGACTGTGACTATCACGTTGGGGGAGTCATTAGCTGGCCTAGATTCTAGGGGAACACCCCACCTTTTGATTCAAGGAAAAACAACCTCACCTCTTTTCTACAATCACCACACCTGAATTCTCTCCAAACCCTGTGGTCACTATCAACTCCTGTGAAGTTGTCATTAATACCATCTGGCCTGCAACAAGTTTTCAGAGAAAGGGAAAGCAGGTCCCCAGAAAACACTGTCTCAAAGAGCAGTGAAGAGCCTGAGGCAGTGCCTGGCATTGTCCTGGTTGCCATCTCATTAACATCTTATTAAGGTCATTTGCTCAACAAATACTCCCAAAGCTCCTGCCTTGCTGTGGCTTAACAATGCGACTCCAAGGAGCTTATGGGATTAGGGTTTGCAATCCTCAAGATGAGGCACAGAGAAGGCCTGGCACCCCAGCATGCAGCGCCACCAGGCCAGGAAGCTCTACGCTGCAATCCCTGCAATCCCCACGCTGCAATCCCCACGTCTTCCAGGAACTTCTGGAGTCAGGGCTGCCAATCATTTGACACAATTGTTGTCACAGACAACAGGGGCTTCTAAAGACAACTGCTTTCTCAGACAGGGGCAGCAGGGACAAAGGTTCACTGGCCACTCCCACTTGGCTAAGCTCCAGATAAAGTCAGGACTGGCACCTTCACAGTAGCATCCTGTTCCCTGGCTCTAGCCCTCGCCCAGTTTCTGTTACCCAGTCCTGGAACCTACATGTACTTCAAAAATACTAAGAGGAACCAGAGAAATCAAAAGCAAAACCAAACTAAATAATGCTGAAGAAAGAAGGCCTGGCCCCCCTGGGTCTGCAAGTGGGGACACCTGCCCACAGCCTTGGTGTCACCTGGGCTTTCTCACAGAATGGTGGCTTCTGCTTCAAGGTAGCTGGATTTCTTATGGACTGTGAAGACACATGGATCAGTTAAGAAAGGCTGAGACAAGATGACGGAGTGGCTGGAGAATGGGACAAAATTCCCCATGGTCAGACACAGAAGGGGGATAGCGGCAAGTGGCAGGTCAGAGGAAGAGAGCAGTAAGTAGGAGCGACAGGTGGCCCATGACCCTCACCCCCAAACACCCCACGACCAAGCAGGGAGGCTCTGGGCACCAGGCCTTTTATTACCACAGCACTCTGCAGGCTGGGCCCACCCTGCTGGACGACCCCGGAGACAAGACTGGCCGTCCCTGTAGGGACAACAGAGCTGTGCTAGGGGAGTGCGTGGCTCTTCCCTGTTCAGGGCACTTCCTTGGTGGTACATGGAGGTCCTTCCTCTCTGGAGACCCCAGGCTCAGACAGTCCACTTCAGACACCTGCAGGCAAACAGGAAGAGGAAGAGGAAGAGGTCTAGGGAGCCACAGAAGGGCAGTGAGTGTGGACAGGGAGGCCACAGCTCACCTGGTCTCCTGGTGGGTGCCCAGACAGCGCACCGTGCAGTACCGCGCTCCGCAGCTGACACAGGTGTAGGGGGAAGGGAAGCCGCACACAGCACAGAAGGGGCGCTGGGGCCGGGACGGGGGACCTGCGCAGGCCGTCAGGTAGTTGGGGCCCTCTGCCACGCTCAGGTTCTGCAGAGACAAGGTGGGCGGGCTCTGTGAGCCTCACGCAGCCAACACCTGCCAGGAAGGATCTCCAGGGGCTCCCCCTCCCCACGGTCCCCTGGCGTGCCCTTCTCACCTGCTCCTCCAGCAAGGCCTGGAAGTTTTTTCGGAAGCGGAGTTTAAAATGATCACCCCGAGTTTTCTTTTTTTTCTTTCCTAGGAGTCCAGAGAGATGAATCACTTGACAATTGCAGAGAAGGAACAGCTCTCTCTGGCTTGCCACAGGGGTGCAGTCTGTCTGTCCTGCCCTACCAGCCTTTGCCCTTTACCCCACTCCCCCAGTCAGGCCCCACCAGCTCTAGGTACCCCGACTCTGAGGCCCACGTCAGCTCATCCACTCTTTCCTTACTCTGTGTACAAGAGAAACTGAGACACAGTGGCTCACACCCACGAGGGCCAGCAAACGCTCGGGCCAGGGGCCTCAGGGCCCAGTGTCCTTCCACAGTCCTGACCTGGGCCTGTCCCTCCCTTCCTCCTCGTCCGCCTTACCAGTGTCTGCATCATCGTCAAACTGAGGCAGCCTCTTGCCGAGCTGGGGGAGGCCTGCGTGGGGGTCATCCTGGAAGTTGTCATTCTCCAAGGCCTCGAGCTGCCTGTTGATGCGGCGCTGCCTGGCAGCCCGGTCCAGCACCCGGCGCTGTCCAGGGTCCTGGGAGCGAACTAGATGTGGCAGGGCAAGAAGAGTTATGGCCAGAGAAGAGGGACACAGGGAGGCAGCGAGTGTGGACGGGAGGCAAGATGACCAATCCCCCCAAGACACTGCGGGGTGACTTGATTATGGGCAGTGGGTGGAAGATGGACACAGGTGGTAGCCACGGTCCTCTGGTCTCATCCCAGGTCCGAGGCCCGTATCCCTGTTTCCCACTGTGTCAGACCTCTGGCCCTGCTTCCTCCCCAGCCAGCAAGACTCCTTTAGTTCCTCAAGCTGCTTCCCACATTTTCCTAGCACTTCCTGCTTCCAGCCAGTGAAGCCTCTCACTGTGCCGAAGCCACACAACTGTGCCCACGTGGAGACACGGAGCACCAGGGTTCCCCAGCTCCACTGGGACGTGCCCTTGACCAGCGTCTCTCCCCACCCCTAAAGAAGCAAGGAACACAAACTCCCCCTTCAGACCACCCACAAACACTCCTGCTGGGCCCACCCTCTCCACTCTCCAGGGGCCTGCGACTGAACCCAGCCCTTCTCCTCCAGCTTGAGTCCATCCCTAACCTCAGCACCCTCCACCGGCCTCAGCTGGACTTTCCCTTCAGGAGAATAAATTGCTGCCAGCGTGTCTACGCCTCCAATGGCCTAATCTTTTCCCTTCCAGAGGGTCTGAGTGATGTCCTCACCTCCCACCTCAACCTCTAGCAACCTGACTCCTGCCTGACTTCAGTGCTGGCCACGGGTGACCGCCTGGGGCCACTCCAGAGTGCATATCTAGCTCAGTTCTTCGTCTCGCATGTCTCTGCCCTGTGACCGTGCTGCCCACCCTCCTGGGGGTAAAGAATCCCTATTTCCTTGGCGTGGCTCCAGCTTTCCTCCTCCTCCCTCTCTGGACTCTCAGTCTCCCGTCTTGGCTGCCCTCCCTGCCCCTGAGCCTTCTGCCCACCCCTCCTCCCTCTCAGTCTACACCCTCTTCCACAGGGCTCTCCTATAACCCACATGCAAATAACTCCAAACATGATCATCTTGGCCCAGAATCCTGTCCTGAGCTCCAGAATTGGCTCCAGGACATCAGCACTGACCCTCTGATTATTGCACCTCAATATGGAACATCTTCCATCCAAGTCTGCCTCTCCCTGCGGCCAGAATGAACGGATGCACTGCGTACATCCACACAGAGCCCTAGCAGTCCGCTCATCCTCTTTGTCACCCCATCAGCTACTCGCCAGGTTCTGATAATTCTACACAAAATATCTTTGTTTATCAGACAAGTACCAAGCGTGTGTTCATCATGACAATAGCAGCAGCGCCGGCAGCCACCACTTGCCAGACACATACTCTGAGCTAGGCACCATACAGTTGGTCCTCCCTGTCCACAGGTCCCACATCCATGGATTCATCCAATCCCCAGATTGACAATGTTTATTCAAAATGCACCTGCACTCAACAGGTACAGACTTATTCCCTAAACAACACAGCGTAACAACTAGTTCAGTAGCATTTACATTGTATAAGGTATTAAAGTAGATAGAGATGATTCAAAGTAAAGGAGAGGATACACACAGGTTATGTGAAACCATTACACCATTTTATATGTGAGACTTCAGCATCTATGGATTTTGGTATCCAGAGGGGGTGTCCTGGAACCAATCCCCCATAGATTCTGAGGGGTGACTTACTAAACAATTAGCATAAACTGAATAATTTAATCCTCACAACAACCCTTTGAGATAGGTATCAGTTCATCTCAACTTACTGATGTTTGGAAGTTAAAAAATGTTTCTAGGGCTAGGGTTGTGGCTCAGTGGTAGAGCACTTGCCTAGCATGTGTGAGGCACTGGGTTCGATTCTCAGCACTGCATATTACTTAAATAAACAAAATAAAGATGCATTGACAAGCAGAATATATATATATATATATATATATATATATATATATATATATTATACAACTAGAAAAATATATATATAAATAAATATTTCCAGAGTTTGCACAACTAATAAATGGCCAGGTCAGAATTCAATCCCAGAACCAAGCAACATCAAAACACATTTTTTTTTGGTTTGCTTTGTTTTGGATTTGGTGGTATTGGGGACTAAACCCAGGGGTGCTTCACACTGAGCTACACCTTCCTCCCCACCTTTTGATTTTTTTGCCCAGATTGACCTGAAATTTGCAATCTTCCTGCTTCAGCCTCCTGAATAACTGAGATTACAGGTGTGTGTCATCATGCCTGGCTTAAAACACATGGTCTTGCCGGGCCTGGTGATGAACGTCTGTAATGCCAGTGGCCCAGGAGGCTGAGGCAGGAGGATCACAAGATCAAAGCCAGCCTCAGCAAAAGCAAGGTGCTAAGCAACTCAGTGAGACTCTGTCTCTAAATAAAATACAAAACAGGGCTGGGGATGTGGCTCAGTGGTCAAGTGTCCCTAAGTTCAAAAACACATGGTCTTGATCACTGCATGATGCTGCTTCCCTCCCAGGTGCCGAGTGCCGGGCAGCACCTGAGCAAGAGCATAGTCTTGCAGGAGCACAAAGGATTTTAAAGAACAAGCACGTTTGGCTAGGAAAGTACTAAAGGCTTCGGAGCATAAGACAGAAGCCCCCACTGCGGCCCTGGGGTTTTAGGGAAGGTAAGTCTAGCTTGAGGCCCAAGTCATCGGTACCCTGGTTGGGGGAACCAAGAAAGCTGGGTGCCTTTAACAAACTGAGGGAAGTTCAGCAAGACCAGCATGTAAAGCAAGTGGGGCAGAAGCTGAGATGAAGGCATGCCAGGTCCTCAGAGTTCTACCTCTAGATATTTAAAGGAATTTGAACTTGGGGATTTTACAGGTGAGAACAATGGAAAGCCAGTGGGGAGGTGCAAGTTAATTTAGCATCTCTTTAAGTGACCTTCCAGTCTCTAGACCTGCTTTCAACAATAAGGTAACCACTGATCACACGTGGTTACTTATATTTAATCTAATTATGAGAAAATAAAATTTTAAAATTCAGTTCCTTGGTTGTACTAGCCACATTTCATGTGGCCAGTAGCCCCATGTAGTGAAAGTCCTACTGTGGATTGAACTCCAGAGACACTTTGCCACTGAGCTACATCCCCAGCTCTTTTTATTTTGAGACAGAGTCTCAGTAAGTTGCTTAGGGCCTTACTAAATTGCTGAGGCTGCCCTTGAGCTTGCAATTCTCCTGCCTCAGCCTCCTGAGTCCCTGGGCTTACAGGCAGGTGGAACACCCCACACTCAACAGCACAGATTAAGAACATTCTCATTATCACATAAAGTCCTACTGGACACTACTGCAATCCATCTGCCTCGCTGAAGCCAGAACTGCCTTTCAAAAAGATAAACCTGCTTGGTCACGCCCCTGCCTTAAAAGCTTTTGATGGCTCTCCACTGCCTCTCCATGGAGTTCAACTTCCTCGGCGGTGTATGGAATGCTTTTCAAAACTTCACCTTTTCCCATTCCTCTGGCCACTGTTTGCTTGTAAGCTCCAAACTTTAAACAGGCTTCCTAAGCGACTTGCTTTTTCTTGCTCCTCTGCCTTTGCTCGCGGAGTGACCCGCACCTCTGCGGTGCAAAACCTTAACCCGCCTTTCAAGGCTTAATTCAAGCGTTTCTGTTTCCTTCCAAGCCTTCCAGGTCTCCTTTTCTTAGGAGCTGGGGCGGGTGCCTGTGCCCAGGCGCCGTGCGCCGCTTTGCCATGGCACCTATCACTCTGAAGGGCAATGCAGGTCCGGGTGTCCGTCCCGCTCACAGAAAGCCAGTTCTGGGGTAACAGGGCTCTGTCTCCTCTCTATCCTCAGCGCCAGGGTTAGGGCAGGCATCAATAAAACTGAATGAACGCTTTAGGGGGCTGCCCGAAAGACCTGAGAGTCGGTGAAGAGATTTGAGACAAATAACTGAGAAAGTCCCAGGTCGGGTTTGGACTTGGGAGGCCAGGGGGTCTAACCGCTGGGGGCTCACATACCCGAAGTTTTTTTCTCCACCATTTGCGCAACACAGCAGCCGGATGAGCCTACTGCGCACGCGTACTAAATAGGCAGCAGTGGTTTAAAAAAAAAATCCTACCACTTCCGGCAGCGTGCGTTTGTGCGCGTGCGCAGAACCAGCCCCCACCGCTTGTAGTCATTACGTGGTGTTCCCTTGGAGACAAGAAAGCTTTCCGCCATGTTTTATAGGGGCAAAGCTACTTCCGGTCTCAGTGTACGTGTGCAAATTTAGTGAAAGACCCGAAATGGGAGTCTTTCGAGAAATATTATTGTCCTTGGGTCCTTCAGAAGATGCTTCCATCCCAAAGACATCCCCTGAAGTATTTCCCCGGGGCAGTAGATGGGACGGCCTGGACTGCGGTGGAAAGCGGCCTGGCTTGAGTGGGCCGACTGAGAGGTCCTTGTTGACCGTCTACCCCAAATCAGCCTCCAGCTTCCCAGGGCCGCAGTCTCGCCGCGGACTCCCCGGCCTTCACCCTCCTTGCCGCCCCTGCGCCTCGCTGCCCCCGTCTTCCGCCCGACGGCCGCGCCCGCGTCCCGCCAGACCCTCCGCGCCGGATCAC